TTGAGAAAAGATATTTTAAACGACACCCCATCATCAAAATGCACACCCATTTCGTAATTATCTATCCCGTTAATCGCAGAATGTATGACTAATTGAAAAAGACAAGAAGAAGAAAATGAGAAAAAAGAAAAAAGCGAGAACTAAAAAAAAAAAAGAAAATAAAAAAAAAATAAAAAAAAAAAAAAAAATAAAAATAAAAAGAAAAAAGAAAAAGAAAGAAACAAACCTATAAGTATACAAAAATTTACAAATATTAATCAACATAAATTTCAGCTGTAAATAAATTTCGATGAATAAAAACATCCGTGTATATACATATATAATTATATATGCACACACACAAAAACATATGTATATCTATACATATCGAGATGAGCACCACTGACCTGATTCTTAGGTGGGAATGAGAGAAAGAAAACGTAAAATGATGAACGCTAAGGTAAGGAGGAGAGTTTAGGTTGGGATGCACCAGGCCAGGAAATGCACTTGACGCTGCGTCGTCGACGAGGATGAGTCATCGGAGATACGGGAAACCGGTTCGCCACGGCTGCAAGATTCACCTCTTTCTCTCTCTTTCCCTCCCTTCGCAGTCACTCTTTCTCTCTCTTTCTCCTACGTAAGTATATCTATCTATCTGTATCTATCTCTTTCTCTTTTTCCAATCTTTGCCCTTCTCTCTCTTTCTCTTATGCTCGACGTCTACCACTTTTTCTTTCCCCCTTTTCCTCTTCACCTCCATCCACCAGTCAGCACTTCTCTTCTACTACCTGCTCCTCCCTCCTTTCTTTCGGTTCTCTCTCTTCCTCTCTCTTTCTCTTTCTGTCTCCCTTCTCTCTGAACCCCCCACCATCCCCTACAACATCCTTCGGACTCCACCTTGTCAGGTTCACTTCACCCTCTCATCCCCTCCTATCTTTCTCCCGCATCCACCTTCTTTCCTTCTTATCCCAAGAAAAGAGAACCAAAGACCAGATCTCTCTCTCTCTCTCTCTCTCTCTTTTTCTTACTTTCTCTCTCTCTCTCTCTCTCTCTCTCTCTCTCTCTCTCTCTCTCTCTCTCGCTCTCTTGGCGTCGTCGATCGTCACTTTGTCGCGCCGCATAAGATTCGTCCGCAGAAGAGATATATACCGGGTGACCACAAAGATATGAAGATTATTAACTCCTCTTCCTCATTGTAAATCAAACCGCGACCTCGCGGATCTCGTTTTTTCATCTTTTTTTTTTTTTTTTTTTTATTTGAATCGAACAAAAAAATGAAAAAAAAAAAAAAAAACAAAAGGAAGTTAAAAGAACGACTATTATTAGATCGTTCGTAATTATTAAAGAAGAAGAAATGATGAAAAAAAAAAAATTAAATGTTGAACTTGTATAACAAAGAAAAAGAAATTATTCTATCCTATCAGTAACACGATTTCCTACTATCGCGAAATAAATGTTGTAAAATATACATTGTATGAAATATCATATACATAAATCGTTGTATATTTATAGACATGTGTATTTCTATCCTTTGTAACTATTATAGAAACATGTGTTACGAAAATATCGATATTTTTTTTTTTTTTACTTATATATAGTTAGGTAATTACACCGTTACATCCCTTTTTTTCTTTCCTTCTTTTTTTTTTTTTTTTGATCGGTCTCGTCCAATTTGATTACTAATCTCTATTTCGTGTTTCTCGTGACGTAATGAAAACAATGAAACAAAAACAAAACCAAAGAAAAATGGATCAGAATAAAAAATAAAATACATAAAAAAGAAAATAAAGGAAAGAAGAAGAGGAAGAAAGAGAAAGAAAGAAAGAAAGAAAGAAAGAAAGAAAGAGAGAGAGAGAGAGAGAGAGAAAGAGAGAGAAAGAAAAAAAAAAGGAAATGTGGATCGTTTACAGTAAATCGCTGACTCGCTTTCTACTTCCTTTAAAACCTAACACGAAATCGTCTGAGGAAAATGTTGTCAGCGATTCTAACTCACTGGAATTGTTTCGAATACGTGTCTTGTGTATCTATACATACATACACACATTATATATATATATATATATATATATATATGTATGTTTGTGTATATGTACGATAGAAGTTGCCTTTGTCTTGTCACGGTTTCGCCTGTCCGGTGAAAATCGAGTATGGCGAATGTAACCGCGATATCTCGTAATAAAGTCGATCCACAAGCGTGGTACGGTGATTTGTACAGGTGAAGTACGGTGAGTCTTATGTTAGAAGGAAGGAACGAACGAAACGTAGCGGCGACACGATGGCGCCCGTCCATTTGTATCGCATTGTTTCACGCACCTTTGAAAGTCCAAGATAGTGGCGTCCTTACTCCCTTCTCCCTCCTATACCTCTTTCCTTCTAGTTGCTCCTTCCCACACCCTTCCCTGTCCTCCTCCAACTGACACCCCCTCCCACAACTCCTCGAGCATGCATTAGCTCGAAACTCGCTAAAACCACACGTTCGAGGCGATTAGACGGTTCGTGACGTGAAACGAATGTCGTAAAATCAAATGAAAGAGGAAGAAGAAGGAGACGAGGAAGAAGAAGAAGTAGAAGAAGGTAACAATTGTTTTCGAAAATAAAAGATGAATATCCTTTCATCACAGGTAGGAAAATACCGACAGTATTTTAATTATCATTTTGTCCAATGATAACATAATGTCTTTTGCTTACGCATTCGAGTCATCAACGTTTAGTTATAATACATATTGTTACGTGTATAGACATTTACGTCAGCGACATACAATATGTCCATAAAATTGACGGTATAATATATTTTATGCAAATAGGTTAGATAGTTATGCGAAAGGTGAGTCACGTGTACATGTGTGTAAATGTATATATATATATATAACTAATGTAGAGATCTATATTACGATAATCGATCGATGAATGATAGGGAAACTTCTACATAAAAGAAAATCCTTTTCATTTCGTTTTTTTTTTCTTTCCCCTTCCTAAATAAAACGAGATAAAACGTCAATGATAATAATGTAACACGTAAAGGTAGTAACATTCTAATGTATATTTACGTGTTATAAATAATTAATATATAATATGATACGATATATTTTAACGATATGTACAGTATATCTAATGTTTAAAGTTTTACACGTGATTCGATATTCGTCTATCGATAAGGGAATTACGTACGTACGTAATATCAAGGATTATAACACATGGCTTATCGAAAATTGGTTAGTCGAAAATCAGAAGAAAAAAACAAGGATAAAAAGAAAAATGAAAAGAAAAAAAAAAAAACCAACGACGAACAACTTGCTATTATTATCCTCCTCGAAGGCCTCTTTTCCATAAGCATACTCGATCCCCGATCCCATCGGTTTAAATGACATTTCGAAGAGCTAAGAGAAAGGTCAGAGGGGAAGATCAAAGAGAAAGAGAAAGAAAAAGACAGACAGACAGAGAGAGAGAGAGAGAGAGACCACATCATCATGGTGGTCTCAATAATTTCCAACCATGAATTTCATTCTCTCGCACAGTTTCTATCCATGGAATCTCTTCGACCAAAGAGAAAAGAAAAAGAAAACGAAGAAGAAAAGGAGGAACGAAAGAGGAGGATGAGAAAGAAAGGTTTCGAAATTTCTAACTGAGAAATAAAGAGAGCACAGATTCAGAGATAGAGAAAGAATTAGAGAAAGAGAGAGAGAGAGAGAGAGAGAGAGAAGCGATTTGTCGAGGAACAATAGAAGGTCAGTAGATTTCAAGACGTAGCACGATCGCGTTGTATAAACGCGCCAGTGGCGGTGACGGTGGCGGTGTCGATGGAGGCGGTAGTGGAGGTGGCGGTGGAGGCGGCACAGCGCTACCAGTTACGACGACGTTTATGCAACCAAGTGCACGAACCTGCATCGAGAGAAAGGAAGAAAGGATCGGCGCTCTTGAGTCCGTTGACGTCATTGCTCCGCTTTTACGATCTCTTTTTTCGTGCCCGAATCACGAACCCCGAACCCCGAATCCCCACTCCCACTCCCCACTTTTATATCCCTCCTCGCTCCCCACCGATCGATCTCCCACTCCTTACTAAAGCACGCGACTCTTCCACTAATCTCCTTAAGTCTCTTGAAATGGCGCGAGAAATAAAATGAGAGTTATCTCTTTTTGTTAGGTATTCTCTTTTGTTCTTTTCAATCAATGAAATTAGATAGATAAATTAAAAATGTTAATCGTTATGGGTATGCATGTATGCAACGAACGAAAATTTATTCATTCTTTATCGAGGGGATAAGTTGAGCCGATTTGATTTTTGTTTTCTTTTTGTTCTGTCTTTCCCCCACCCCCCCCCGCTTGTTTCCCCTTCTTCTTCTTCTTCTTCTTTGTTAGAACGTAAAATGGTTTTTTCTAAAAGACTTTTTTTTTTTTTTTACAATTTCTCAATATGAAAAATAAAATTAGGAAATTAGCCTGAAGAGTTGGAAAAAAATAAAGAAAAAGAAAAAGTTATATTTTACATTTTTACCCATATTATATTTTATTAAAATTAAAAGTTTTACATCTATTGCTAATTACTAGTCAAATACTGAATAAACCAGAAATTTCAACGTTATTTAAAACAATTAATTATCCTTTATCTAGAGACTATTTTAGCCTGAGTTTCTTTCTTTCCTTCTGTTCTTTTATTTGTTTTTTTCTTTTTTTTCGTATTGTAAAAAAATTTTCTAGGGTTGTAGGTTTTCCAATGTAAAAAAGAAAAAGACAAAAAAAAAAGGAAATGAAAAAGGAAGAAAAGAAAAGAAAAATTATTAAATCAGCCTAAAAAGTTTCTCTCTCTCTCTCTCTCTCTCTCTCTCTGTCTTTCTTTTTCTTCCTCTCTCTTTCTCTCGAAAAAAAAAGAAAAGAAAATAAATAAAAGTGAAATTTATTATTAAAATCATTTACAAAAATTTGAACTCGCTTATTTTTTTCTTTTCATTTCAATCCTTTTCTTTCGTTTCAATTATATTTCTGCCTTCTTCTTATTTTTTTTTTTTTTTTTTTTTTTTCTAAGA